TCTGTTAACTTGGATCTGTGGCTGGCTTTGTTGATGTTCATGACGCTGAATGTCTGTTCACACACAAAGGTAGAGCTGAACAAAGCCAACATCATCTGCGCTTTTCGCCTTAGATTTGGAAACGCGGCATCATTGAGTGAAGCATAGAAGTCATTTAGTTTCAGAGAGCTGAACTTCTCTGGAGCTGTTTTGGGGTCTTGTGACAGAGGAAAGGCCACCAACTGAAGTGACTTGTCAATTTTATCGAAATCCAAAAACCGACGGCAGAATTCTCCGTGCAGTGCATCCAGTGACTCACTGTATTTCTTTACTTTTGCTCCGGCCTCTTTCAGCGTGGCTAGTGTAGGAAAATGAGTGAATGACTTGTTCAAAATCTGCCTGGAGAATAAAGCCAGCTTGGATTTGAAGGCTTTCACGTTTGTGTGCATGTCATGCACAAACTGCTCCTTCCCCTGCAGTTTCACGTTGAGCTCATTCAAGTGTGAACATACGTCCGTAGCAAACACAAAGTCACACATCCAGCTCTTGTTGCTCAGCTCAGGAAATTCATCATTCTTCCCCTGCCACTCCAAAAACACGCCAATCTTCTCTTTGAGCTCCCACACTCGTTGAAACACTTTGCCCAAACTCAACCAGCGGACACGGGAGTGATAAAGCAGGTCCTGGTGATCCGCATCAGTTTCCTCCAGGAACACAATGAACTGACGGTGCTGAAGTCCCCATGTGCGTATGAAGTTGACAAGTTTCACCACAGGATTCACAACATGATTCAGCTGTAACACCGATTTACATAGAGATTCCTGGTGGAGGATGCAGTGGAGGAAAATGACATTCTGGTCAGGGTTTTCATCTTTCACTTTATTCTGGATTCTCCTCAGCAGGCCAATGTTTTTTCCCTTTAAATTCGGAGATCCATCTGTGGTGACGTTAACAAGCTTACTCCAGGAAAGCTTCATGTTTTCGATGGCAGCAGACACCCGTTCAAACAACTCCTCTCCCCGTGTTTGTCCTTTCAGAGACTCCATTGTCAAAAACTCCTCCGTTATTTCAAAGGTTTCGTTGATTCCT